CGCCCCCGATATTGATTATTGCTAATGATTGGAAACGAGTTAAAGTGCAATAACAATGGATGATGATGATAACAACAACAACAATAATAACAATATCACTGACAATAATAACAACGACAATAACAATAATAATTATTATAATGATAATTATGACAATAACAATTATTATTATTATTATAATTATTATAATGATAATAGTAATAATAATAATATTAACAACAACGAAAGGAAAGGGAACACAATTTCTGGGGTGTCCTGTGCAGGGCCAGGAATTGGACTTGATCCTGACAGCAACAACAGCAATAATAATAATACAAGGGAAAGAAAGAAAAAAAAAAACAAAACCAGAAAAACAATTGATGCACAATTCTTGGGGTGTCCTGTGCAGGGCCAGGAGTTGGACTCAATGCTGAAGCTTCTCCACTCCCAGCCAGCAGCAAGTGTAACTTATCAGAGCTTCTCACACCCTCAGAGCCCCAAATTCCTTGAACCAGATTTGGGAACACAGTTCAGTTTCACTTCACTCTTTCAGTAAAATGTTGGTGGGTTTTGGGGCTCTGCCTGGGATCTGGATCCTCTTTTTGCACCACTTTGGCACAGTCTGGAGCAAGGGTGGGTCGCAGCCCACTCCCTGCTGCAGCCTGGGCTTTGCAATGCCATCAATTATTTTTTGCCCCAGTTGCTTCTAAGAGAGGATGAAGGATAAATGAATAATCAGCTTGTCTCATTAAGAAGAGGGAAAAAAAAAGTGTGGGCAGTCTGTGTGCAGAGGGTGTGAAAAGCCTCTGGTTAAAAACTAACGTTAGTGCTTCATTATCAATTTACTTCATCTCAGAACAGCTTTGCTGGAAATAGCTGCAGGCTTGGCTGGCGTCCAGCTTGCCAGCAATCCATGGATCCCATTTGGGATCTGTCCATGCTGCAGTGCTCCTTCTCACAGGGTGAAGGGCTGGAGCCTCCCCAGGGGAGCAGATTGGGGGCAGGAGGTGGACAGAGGTGGGTGGAAGTGCTGCCCCTGCTCTCCTTCCCAAGCTCGTGGTTCTCACCCCAGAGCACTGTCCTGCCTGGCCCAGTCCTGGATGGTCCCACTGCCAAAGGCTGTGTAGAAGATCAGGCCAAAGAGGTTGAGGGCTGCAAGGAGGAAGAAGGAATTCCTCCAGCCACTGTGGAGATCCTGGGGGGCAAAAATAGGGCACGATGGTGTCAGCCTTCCCTTTGTGTCCTTGCAGTGACCACCCAACTGCTGCCACCCACTAGTGAAGGCATTGACTCATCTCCATCCTCTGCTTGTAACTCCTGCCAACAGCAGAAGAGCTTTGCTCAACTCCAGACATATGGAATCAGGGAATCATGGAATGGCTTGGGTTGGAAGGGACCTTAAAGCTCTCCTCGTTCCACCCCCTGCCATGGACAGGGACACCTTCCACTAGCCCAGGCTGCTCCAAGCCCTGTCCAACCTGGCCTTGGACACTTCCAGCCACAGTCCAACCTGTGTCAGCACCCACCAGCTCACAGGGAGGAATTGCCAGACCCCTCTTGTTGCAGAACCATTTCCTGCCTTGGCATTTTTGGAAACATTACATGCTGTGCTGAATTCAGGAAGCTTTCCTGCCTGGCACAGAGCTTCCCCCTCACTCCACTCCCTCGACCCTCTCCCCATCTCCAAGTACACCCAGATGGGTCCCATGCAGAGCTCTTCCTGCTTTCTGAGTCATCCCTGTGTCCCCAAAAATAGTGCTGAGCTCTGTTTTGCTGGGTGCTACATCCCATGTGCTCTTTGGGAGAGTGGGTTGGCTTGGTGTAATTTTTGATTCAGTGCAAAGAAAGAAATCCATTGCTGAGAGCAGATTTGTGGTGTGTTTTTTTTTTTTTTCCAGGGATGTGCTGCTGGTTTGTGGCCCCAAATTACCTGGCTGACGAAAAGTCCAACTGCAGTGGGAGCAATAATTCCTGCAACTATGCCAAAGGTATTTGTGATAACCAGCAGGAACCCTGCATATCTGGGGACAGAAAGCAAAGGTTTCCTGAGTGGGGCAGAGAGGTGACTGTCACAGGGAGGGAGAGGAGTGGGTGTTTCCAGTCCCTTCCCTCACTGCAGGAGGGGTTTCATCCTGCTCTGCTTCCCCCCCTCCCCTGCCTGCGTGTTGTCCTCGTGGTACTGCATCCTGTCCTGCCTGCAACGCTGCTGCCTGCTCCTACTCAGGATAATATCCAGGCCTCTTGGGAAGCAAACGAAAAATGTCAACGAACACGGGAGCAGCCAGGCAGTGACCACTGGCATTTCCTCCCGGCACGGTGAGAGCGGAGCAGGCTGCGCTGCCGGCATGGACACTTCGTGAGCACGGGGATCTACAGCAGCCTCAAACCTCCCCAGGACAGCCTTACTTACACCTCTGCTTTATAACCCTCGACCACAACAGCCTGGCAGGGCAGCGGGGTCTGTCCCCTGGGGGTACCCACTGCCCTGGGAGGCTCCTTCCCTGCCCCACCCTGTCCCCCAGGGGTAGCTCACGCAGGGGGAGAGGTGTCTCCCCAGCCCAGAGAGAGGACCAGAGGGCTCGTGGATCTCCCGGCTCTGTGTCCCGTGGAGGGATTCGAGATTTCGGGGGGATGGAGCTACGCTGGGACTCGAACCCGCTACCCGGTGGAGCTTCCCAGCCACGCCCCTTGCTGATAGACCACGCCCCCAGCGCTGGTCCCGCCCCACGAGGCCACGCCCCCCGGTGCCGGGGGCGAGTCATGTGGTCGGTCAAGATGGCGGCGCTCAGGGCGGCGATGCCGGTGCTGCTGCTGCTGCTCGGCTGTGCTGGAACGCGCGCCCACCGCCGCACCCTGATCATCTGGCACGGCATGGTGAGCGGGACCTCCGCGGGGCGGCGGGAGAGGCTGGAGCCGAGCAGGCCCGAGGGCGCGCTTCGCCGGCCCTCTCCGGGTGTCCCCCTCGCCGGTGCCCACGGGGGCCGGGAGGTGCTGACCCTCCTCCGCCGGCCCTGCGAGTGGCTGGCAGCTCCCGGCCCCGTCGCAGCGCGGGCTCGCGGTGTGTTTGTGGAGGTCAGGGCCCCGGGCCGTGGCGTGACGGTGCATCCCGGTGTTCCCTCTCCCAGGAGACAGCTGCTGTAACCCGATGAGCATGGGCTACGTTCAAAAGATGGTGGAGAAAAAAATCCCGGGGATTTACGTTCTGTCTCTCAAGATTGGAAGCAACCTGATACAGGTAACTGGGGTGTCACTGAGGTTTCTGTGAGCAGGGGTGGCCAGTGGGTGGGTCTGAAGTTGCTGCAGTCTCTGGTATTAACAGGATTCCACAACGATTCGTGTTGTGCTTTCCCTGCTAATTGTTTTCTTCTCAGTGAAGTAAACAGCTTTGACACGTTAATAAAGTCCAATAAAGTCCAGCTAATACCTGCAGAAAAGAACTGGGGAAAACCAAATCCCTGATCTAAATTGGATTAATATGCAAATCCACTGATTAGCACACCCTAACCACTCCAGGTAATACATGTGATAGATGCTGTGCTAAAGCAGAGCTTTATCCCTGCCCACCCTTCTTGATTTACAACTGTTTATTCACTTCAGTGTAACAAATTAGACTTCTGCACCTCTGTGGGTTTTGACAGTTTAATGTAGCCCTCTGGAATTCCTTTGAATAATCTCTCAGGATAATGTGCAATGTATGTAGTTTTCTGTTTTCTGGAGGAGATGGGTGAAGTTTGATTTAGTTTTATGTACCTATACATTTAATTTTATTTTTATATATATAAAATTTGAAGGTACTCAAATTGTGAAGAAGTTTGGGGAAATGTCACTGTCCCCACACGAGGCGGTTTTGCCAGAGGAGGGAACAAAGATGTGGTGAAGTCTCAGAACTGGGGTTTCACTTCCCTCACTGTGAAAGCTCAGGTCTTCTTTCAAAACCAGAACTGTTAGTGATCTGCTTGCAGAGTTTCAAATAACACCAGGCATCGTAAAGGTGTACAAATGACATGTTTTAACCTGGCTAATCCCTCAGGACATGGAGAACAGCTTCTTCATGAACGTGAACGATCAGGTGAGGGAGGTTTGCAGCCAGCTCGCCGCGGACCCTCACCTGAAGGGAGGCTACAACGCCATGGGCTTCTCCCAGGGAGGCCAATTCCTGTGAGTTCACATCCTGCTCCATCTCCAGTGATTTCTGTTGGGGTTCAGGCTCTGATTTAAAACCCTTTAGAAGTGCTAAGCAGACATAAACTGCCAAACTCCTTCACAGAGGCAGGAGCGCTCAGAGCGCGTTTGCCTGTGGCCCTTCTCTCCCAGGAAGGGTTAAAATTCTCTATGCAAACGTTACACAAGTGCCCAAGCCCACACAGAACCAGCACCTGTGGCCTTGGCATGTGAGCTGGGCATGTGAGCCAGGTCTCATGGCCTGGGCACGCCGAGCTCAGCTCTTCATCCTCCCCCACAGGAGGGCCGTGGCCCAGAGGTGCCCTTCTCCTCCCATGCTCAACTTGATCTCCATCGGGGGACAGCACCAAGGTAGTGTCCTCTCCAGCTGTCACACCTCCTGGTCACCCTGAAGGGGTGGGGGGCTCCTGTTAGCAAGAGGAATGGGATTTTTTTTTTGGCCTCTCCCTCAACTCTGAACCTTTTCTTTATGAATTAAACTGTCCCTTTGCTCTTGGATCTGGTGATCTCCTTTGGCCCAATTATTAGCATCAGCCAACTGCATTATCTTCTGGGCTTGCTTAACTAGCAGTGAAAAGGGACCTTTGTAAGTAGATGACTCATTGTCTGAGTAGATTTCTTACATGCCTTGGGGGCACTAGGGATTAGTTATTTCAGGAGAAATTTCTACAGATCAAAGCCTTTGTGCAACTAAACCACCTGGGTATTTTACAATCAGCACCTGGAAGGCCAAAGCCCCAGGGAAAGGGAGGTATGAAATGGAATTTTAAGAGGTGTACAGTTAAAAGTGGCTGGAAATGAGTTTCACATACTCTCTCCTTAGAAGTTCCATGGCTTGAGTGTGTTTCTTTGTAGTGTAGTGGGGGAGACTTATAGGGAGCCATCCTGGGAACACCCCAGGTGAGCTGGACAGTGTCCAGCACTCCCCATCCATTATCTTTGCCACAGTTCCTGGGGCAGGACGGCTGCCTAATGGGATTGCAGGATTAAAGGCTGCCTGATTCCCTGGATAATTCTTGGCTCCTGCTCTGTAAGAGGTGGTTCTTTACCCTCCAGAAGGATTAAGGGATTTAATTTTGGCTCCCTGAGCTGTCATACCTCTCCATCCCCCAGGCGTGTACGGCTTTCCACGCTGTCCTGGGGAGAGCTCCCACATCTGCGACTGGATCCGGAAGACCCTGGATCTGGGAGCCTACACTCAAGCTGTTCAGGAGCAGTGAGTACATCCATCAGCAGCCAGAGCCATGGGAGCAGCTCTGGGTTTCCAGTCTGATCCTTGCTTTCTCTCCTCTCCAGCTTGGTACAAGCAGAGTATTGGCACGACCCGCTGAAGGAGGAGGACTACAGGAAAAACAGCATCTTTTTGGCTGATATCAACCAGGAGAGGGTAAGGAGGAGGAGGAGGAGGATGTGACCAGGAGAGCAGAAGCTTTAGCAGTGACTTCATTTATGTTGGTTCTCCTTGGCAGCAGCTTTGCTGGAGTCCCAAGGGAAGCACTTTTTGCCCTGAATCCCAAGGTATTTTTGCTGGTAGACTGATGAGTGAGATTGGTCTGTGGCAGAGCAGCTCCTGTGTCACTGAGCTCCTTTGGAGTGGTTGGTGTGGACATGCCACGTGCTCAGACCACCTTCAAGTGGGTGAAGCCTCTCCCTCTCCTGGGAAGGCAGGAAAGGCCCATCCCCTCCCTACAGCCTGGAGATGAACCCAAATGTCATGGGATTGTTGACACGTGGCACATTCCCACCCTCGAGGCTGGGGCAGTCCAGGGCTCCCTGTGCAGCTGAAGAGCAGGTTGGAGCAGTTTCCCTGACCTGTCTCTGGGCTTTCCAGTGGCTTGGATCTGTTCTGTTGCTTCCATGCAGGGCATCAACGAGACCTTCAAGAAGAACCTGATGGCTCTGAAAAAGTTTGTGATGGTGAAATTCCTCAACGATACCATGGTGGACCCTCCAGCCTCTGAGGTGAGGAAGGCAGGGCAGGAGCTGCTTCTGGGTGGTGTTTTGGGGCTTCTGTTTTGTCTGGAGGTTGCTGAGGAGCAGGCTGGGCACAAACACGGGCCTGACACCACACAGTCTCCAGCAGAAGCTGCTGAAGGCCTGCTTGGCTCCTGGAAGCCCTTCAGCAGCTGTTCCCTTGTTTTTATCCTGCAGTGGTTTGGGTTTTACAGAAGTGGCCAAGCCAAGGAGACCGTCCCGCTGCAGGAGACCTCGCTGTACAAGGAGGTACGTGCTGGGGGGAGTGTCTTCTGCTCTTTCCACTCTTTAGTGTCCCTGGGGCCTTCAGGAGCTCTAAACCCCACAGCTCTGCTCTTCTCACCATCTCTGCCATTCCTGGGGCATTGCCTCCCCTTGCCAGTAGCTGTTTGTTTGGGAAGGCATTTCTCTCCAGCCAGTTCTGGCAGTGGAAGTGCCACTGGTGGTTCATGCCTGGCTCAGGATCCCCTTCAGTGTGTGTTTAATGAAATCTGCTCCTGTAAGATTCACACAAAATTCCTTCTTCCCCTCCATGAGGGGGAGGTTTGAAGAGCAGAGGTGGAACCCTGTACTTCTCTCCATAGGATCGCCTGGGGCTGCAGGAGATGGACAAAGCAGGGAAGCTGGTGTTCCTGGGGGTGAAAGGGGACCACCTGCACTTCTCAGAAGAGTGGTTTGACACCACTATCCTCCCCTTCCTCCAGTGAAGCTCCTGTGAGAGCACTGGGAAGGGTTTACTGCTCTAGTTAATGCTACTGTGCAACAGCACTTTGTGTGTCCAAGCCTGCAGGGATCTGGGGAAGGGGAAGAAGAGGGGGTTTAGCTCAGCACTTCCACAGCAGTGGAATTCCTGGTGTAATTCCAGTCCCACATGGGTGGGCTGAGCCTTGCACTGAGTCTGACACACTCCATCCTGCACAGGGCCTGGCAAATCTGCTTCAGCTCTCAGAGCTGTGGCCAGTCTGGTCTCTGGGTGGTGCAGAAGGATCAGCTGTGCCAGAGGTTTGTTCTCCATCACCTGTTCCTCGCAGGACACAATGGCAGTATTAACCCAAATCACTAGTGCAGGGATCAGCAAGACTTACATGGCTGTATGCAGGGGAATTAAATTACAGCCTGTCCTTCAGGATGGGGAAAAGGGCCAAATTTAGGCGTTTCTGGGGAAAAAGGAGGGTTTGGAATTCAGCAGGTATTAACAGCTTGGACAGTTTTCAACTAATGGCTTGTTTTATGCACTTTTGTACAACTGAAATCAATAAAGAACTTTACATCTAACCAACTAAAAAAGGTGAGATTTGACAACTACTGAGACTGTTTCGAGGGGAGCTGAGGAAGGTCTGTGCTTCCCTGTGGAAAACTATTCAAAGGAATTGAGGAAAGCAAGGCAGAGGTGCATCTTGTCCTACCTGAGCTCCTGTGTGCCCCCAAAAAGAGACCAGAGCCACAGTAATGAGCAAGTTGGCATTAACTTTATTCTATCTTCTGTATAATCTTAAGTACATAAGAAAGGTTTTTTTCACAAGCCTCAGGAGAAGACGAGTACAAGTCACAGGACAGTTTCAAAATAAAAAAAATTTGCCTTTTTTTTTTTTTTTTGTAAGTTTTGTACTAGAGAAAAAGAACATTGACACTTTTACAGAGGGAATGCATTTTAAGATATGCTTATGCCACCCGAGGCGTTGGAAAAAATGAAGGTCAAAGCACGTGCAGCTCCCTTTATGGGCCAGTACAGTACTGTGTGATCCATCACTCTGCTCCAGGGCCCTGGAACAGAGGCTACGACCTCCCACCAAAATAAAAGAGCCAAGCAACAGGGGGAAAAGGGTAGGATTCACTTCATGGGGGCTGATTGCAGATGAGGAAGGGAGCGATGAACCGACTTGATCCAACTCGGGTATTTACAACTGACCTGGAATGGAGGAGGCCCCTTCCTCGGTGGAAGGGGAACAGGTTCAGAAGAACCAACCTGGAAGACTGAACCTGAGTTCAGCTGCTCCCAAGAAGGAAGCCCTGGGGCAAAGGTTCCCTTGTGAAGGTGGAGGGCTCATGGAGTAAGAGGTGCTCAGCTCCAAGCTACCAGCCAGGCTGCCAAGTAACCAGGGTTACACCACTGCAGCCTTCCTGTGGCACTGGGTAATTAAAGCCTCCTGTCATGGCACAATCAGAAATACACTGAGCTAGTAGGAATGATGAAAGAGAGGTCAGGGTGGAATGCTACGGCCCTTTGGTCCGACAAAACCATTCCCATGTCCTGTAACGCCACCAGCTAGCACACAGAGCTGGAATTGGCAGCTTCCAGAACCTTCTCAAGACATCTGCCATAGCAACTGGGTACTGTGGACTCCGACAGACACCGTTACTCGTTAAAAAGGGGACAACATTCCTCTCACATTAACAGTTTGCTTAAAGGCAAAATACAAAAAAAACCCGAACAACACTCTGAAAGCCAACTGCCAGGACTGGCTGTGAAGTTCACTCTGATCAATTGGTGCAGTTAGAGGGGAGAGAAAATACACCTTCCTGCTGATAGATGTGGACAATAACTCACCCGCCACCTACCCCAAACCCCAGGCAGAGGAATTTCAGTGACGGCAGGTAGCTGTGTCTCTCGGGTAGAAGAGAAGCAGTTTGAGAGCAGAAAGGTACAAGAAATCTAAGAGAATCATCTGAAAGCAGATTTGTCCCACAGCAGGGCCAGGGGAGGGCATGAGCCTTGGTGCTTTTCTGCTTAGCCAGCAATTTCCGTCACAGTGGTGACCAACTTCTGACCGTTCCACACTGTCTTGAACTGTTCTGGGACAGGGAATTCAGTCTGGAGGGTGAAAACAGATCAAAAATCAGTTTATGGCTAAGACTAATAACTACTCCCACTGCTTTAGGCATTTCTTTTCGTAGATATGTACTGTGCCCCCTCCTGTGCCACCATCACTGCCTGTTCTGCCCCCGAGAGATGCCGAGGAAGAAGCAGCTCTCACAAAACACCAAGAACCATTCACAACCACCAGACTCTAGAAGCTGTCCCTCCACACCTTGCTGTAACTGGCATTCCCTGCAGGGCTCAAAACACATCCCCAAAGCAGAGCTCCACAAGGATTTCACAGCAGACACTTACAAAGTCCCCCCCCTCTGTGGGAATGAGGACGTTCATCTCCGACGACTTGGCACTGACGATCTCGCAGTCCAGGGAGCTCTGGCTCAGGTACACATGGCAACCGTCTGTCTTGTTGATGGAAATCGTTGGCACTTTACCCATGACCTGGCAGGGCCAGAGCAGCATTAGCTTGGACTGGGCAGCCACAGCATTTTTCTTTGGCGTTTGTCTCCAACCACCCCCCTCCCAGACACGTGGCATTCAAATATTCCCACCTTTAGCAAAAATCCGAAGTTAACTTCTTGTTTTGATCTCTACAACAAAATTTCAGTGGGTGCTGGGCAAACTGACCATCCCAAACCAGGTACCAAAACTGGAATTGGAGTATATTCTACTGCTGGCCTCCTGCTGCCCACCTCACAGAGCCTCAGCTTTTCCTTACAGCCCAGAAGCAGGAGGCAAATTGTACCCTTTCAGTGAGGCAAATTTCAGCCCTTTCTTAAGGGCTGGGTGAGCTGCAGAGCAGTAGGACAGATGGTGTTTCATAAATGTTCTCCAGAGATGCACATTCCTGTTCTGGAAATAAAACTACTCCAAGAACCAGATGCTGCAGATGCAGCAGTCACACTTCTGGCAGAGAGAGGTGACGGACGCTCACCTGAACTTTAACATCCCTGCTGTTGATGATCTCTACAATTCCCACCACGTCATCAAACACCAGACCCAGCTTCTTGCAGTTATCTGCAAAAAAAAAAAAAAAAAAAAAGCAGAGTAGATCACAGAAAGGTTTTGGAGACTCAGGTTCTGCAAACACACCAGCACACAGAAGCAGTTTTCAGGGTTTTCCCACTCACCGAGGGTGATGGAGTTGATCTTGCCTTTGATTTGGAGTGTACTGTTTGTGCACTTGAAAACATATGCTACCTGCTTCAACTCTGTGTCACTAATTACCAGGTTAGTGGCATTCTCCTGGTTTTCCTGAAAAGGCAGGGAAAACACCCTTCATTTTCTGAATGCAGAGCAACTAACCCACACGAGCAGCAGGGCACGGCAGCTCCTTTAAAAGCAAACTGCAGGTGCTTTCAGGCTGGTGCCTCTTACAAGAAAGGTCTCCAGGAGACCCTCCTTCCCTGCTCCAAAGCTCCCATCCCTCCAACCCACTCATGCCAACACCAGGCACTCACCACTCTCCACTTTTTGCCCTCTAACTCCAGCAGTGGAGGTGCCTTTAGAGAGGTGATTTGGGAGGGATTAGCATTACAGGCTGGTTTGGGAGCAGTGAAAGGTTTGGGGCCACTTCTCACAGGGCCCCCTTGGTTCTTCAGGGCTGGATTCTTGTGGGTTTTCATGTCATCTGAAACGTGCCTCAAGCCTGCAAGAGAAGTCAAACCTGAGACCCAGCTCTGCTCCAAGAATGCAGTTCCACAAACAGCAGACATCAGTGGTTACACCAATCATGACAGCATTTGTCAAAATGCAAATAAATTATTGGGACTGGACCTAAGTTGAGCCCAAGCTTGTGACAAGTGGAGGGAGCAGGAAACACCGATGCAATATTGATGAGAACACAACATGTGCCACAGAACCAGAGTGTGCCAGCTCTTCCACTCTGCAGCTGGAAAAAGCCTTCAGCCAAGACCTCACCTTTGTTTCAAAACTGCACCTTTTACACTGGAGACATGCAGGGCACAGTCTCCATTCCAGCTAGAGGTTAATGTCTTGTTGCACTTGCCAGGTGAGGGTGGGAATTCTCCCCTGGGTGAGCTCCCTTTGTCTCACTGATCTGTCTCAGCGCTGCCTCTGCCCCATACTGGGACCAGAGGGGTTTTTGTCATGTACTTTCTAAGGAGGTGTACTGAGGGACAGCAGCAAAACCAGGGCCTGCAGCACAGCAGCTCCCTCGCTGGTGGCTGCTCTCCCTCCTCCCCTCCCTCTGCCACTCCCACTCACCCGAGGTGATCCCTTCTCCCCGGTTGATCTGGGCGAAGAGCGCGGAGCGCGAGGCAGAGTCGTCTGTGCTGGAGCTCACGGGGGCAGGAGGAGGGGGAGGGCCTGGAGGGGGGGGTGCAACCCCAGCAGGGGCAGCAGGTGCTGCTTTAGCCCCTTCTGTGGCTACAGGACCCTGTAAGAGCAGAGAAGAGGAAAGGCACTTGCACAAGCTCTGTTTCTGCTGCAATAATCACGCAATGATCAGCTCCTGCTGACAGAGCCAGCACTCACTGTTTTGCTCCAGGTCAGCCCTGTGGTGTGATACTCTTTGATGTAGGCCTGCAGCTCTGTCCAGATACTCAGATAAGCTTTCACCCAGTCCACTTGCTTTTTATCTCTGAGGACACAAGGAGATCAAAGAAGGAGGAATTAAAGACCAAGGAGGCTGTGGTCAGATACTGGAGCAGCCCCTTCACACCCAGCAAACTGAGTTCAACGACATCCTTAAGGGATGAGATGAACTTACACATCCTTGTACTCCTTGAGGATCCGATTGGTGTAAAACATGGCAGCATCAGTCATTTCCTTCACATAAGGACCAGGCTTTGGAGCCTAGAGCAGAAAGAACACATTGGAACAGCTGAGCAGTGAGCCAGACTTTTCCCACCAGTCCAACCACTCCCCACTGCAGTCCTTACCATGGCCACCCAGCCCAGGGCTGGGATGCTCTCGCTGACAGCAGATAAGTGGTTGAACATTTTGCTACCACGGTTCTTCTCCCTGAAATTCTGCACCGCCTGGATTTGCTCCGAGATGGGTTTCAGGAGTGCTGAGAAGGCATTCTGCAGAGGGACAATAACAAGTAAGAAGATTAATTAGCATTGCTCTGGAACGGCTGCACGTCCTCATGGGCGGCTCTGCTGAGATGATGGTGACTCAGGAGAAGATTCCAACTGGCACAAGTTTCTGCTCCAGCTCCTGCCCAGGCCTGGCCCTCCCCTCGAGCCCAGCTCAGCCCCACAGCCCAGCTCCTCCAGGGCTGAAGTCATTGCTCCCAGTCGGATTGGTACGATGGGAGTACGCCAAGAACTGTGACTCATGTTCAATCCAGGAGACACTGACAAAGCTTGTTAGTAACCAGGACAGAAATAGCATTTGCCTCTCCTGGATTCTTTTGTTCTAAGACAGTTTGTTACATTTTTCCTCTCCTTCTCAAACCCTCAGAGAATGGGGTGCTGGGCAGGTTTGGGACCTGCAGCCTGCACCA